CAGTACAGCTTCCAGGGTGAATGTGTTTGTGGAAAAGTGCCTTTACCTACTTCAGAGAGCAGCAAAGGGAGCCAGAACTGTATTCTGATCTCATAGTAAGAGTGTCAGAAGGAATTACCCTGAGACTCATGACAGTGGTGCCCATACACTGTCTTTCAAAAGCTACTCTGAGAGAAGTGTTAGAGGGGTGTGCTCTAGGAGGTTCAGGATCCATTTAGGAAAGACTGAAGGTGTCATACACGGCTCGGACGCTAGAAGGAGATAAAAGCCCACTGAGACATGAATTGTGCATTGCTGAAAACCCAGGTTTTTGGAAGTTGGGTTTGCACCCTCACCTGCCAGGGCTATGGCTTTCATCTCGGAGGGCTCGCTGGGGTTACGCTGCAGTTTGCGCTTGGAGACGGATGATGATTTTCCCAGGTTGAAGAAGGAACGCCAGCTGCCCACTGGTGACTTCTTCATCTTGCTGGGTGGCCTTTTTCTGGAGTGAGAAAACAGAGCAAATTGTTGGAGGGGAGAAGCTGATTTAGTTCCTGCTACGGGCTGGTTGTTGTTAGCGTGCTGGTGTCTGCTGAAACAAAGCTTAGAAACTCAGTCTTTTGAATAGCTGAGCATGTTTTCATTCTTATAGCTCAGCCCTGAAGTCTTGTTGGGTAAATGCCACCAAAGCAGGTGCCCTGCAGGTGAGCAAAGGCTCCACAGCTGCACAGTATGGTGTCTGTTTAGCTGGTAGATCATACAAGGCATTCACGTGCTGTAAAATCCCATTTGCCTCCTCCCACATTTACTGTCTTAGTGGCACCATGTCTGTCCAACTGCTCCAGCTCCTGGATTTGTTACAGGCACTTACTCCTGAAATCTGGAAAACTCCCATGTTTCCAGGTGTTCAGTCAGTGTACATTTTCCTGGGCATGACTAGCACAGGCCCCTGTAGGCATCGCACAACAGGGCTTCACACATTTATGAGAACCCTGCTAAAAAGGAGGGAGTGGCACAGACATTTTATGGCTCAACTAAATCCACCAGACAACTGGTGTAAGCTGAATCCTCAGAGTCCAAAGCAGGTGGAAAACTGGCTACAATATTCTTCACATACATCTCATGTAAGTCAATATTGGCAAATAATAAAAACCCAGTTATGACACAGGCTGGACAGGAAACTTGTCTCTACCTTTCAGATGGGAAGTCTATGACTGTGTGGAATTTCCCCTGTAAAGCTGCAGGGCCTTCTCCCACTTCTATGTATTTGCTGTCTGCCACGATGGGAGAGTTGATCTGGGCTTGTGTCCGTGCCTGTGCCTCCTCCAGTGTGAGCAGCTTTGTGGAAGGAGAGGACACCAACAGAGACTTGGGCCGTGATAAAGAACTGTGCCCTGTAAGGGAAAAACCACAGGCAACAGGGAGAATCAGAGAACAGCAGGACAGAGATCAAAGCCCTGGGTCTGTGTGTCTAGGGAGGTGCTGTGTTTTTCTACATCTTTGTTATCTCAGTGACTGAAAGATGTGGTCAAAAGAGCCGTTGGTCAGAGCTGTGTTTATGTGAAAAAAAAAAATAATTAAAAAATCATCTCATAACTGAGAGCAGCTGAGTGTATTAAAACACAAGAAAAGGCAGAGGGAAGCAGGCAGGTTGGAAACCTTCACTGCCATACTATCCTTAAGCTTCATCTGTATGCAAAAGTCTGTAAACAAAATATGTTTTCCCTTCTTACAAAGCTTGGCTTCAGTCCCTCCCTGATTCCACCTCTGGTTGCACAGGAACTGCCACGTGTGACTGAAGTTGCTACAAACTAAGGTGCAGGTGGACACAGGAAACTGGATCTAGCTGCACATCTTGCCCTTGTGCTTCTTTTTGGAGATGAACGTGCACATTTCTGTAAAAGTAGTCGATGTTGCCTCCTGCTGCTGGGATCTGTTGGGTCAGTTTGAGGGAGAGGAGCCTGCTAGAGAGGAGCATGGGGATCCCCAGCAAGAGCAGCTGCCTTGTGTTTGCCATTGCTTATTGCTCAGTATTGATGCAGTTATTCTCACATGAGTTAAGGGGTATTGAGGGGAGTAGGTGACCACACGGACATCCTGGTTGGTTCCATTCCTTCTGCCACCCCTCCAGCCTCACTGCTCCTGTGTAAGGTGTGCAGTCTGGTGTGGGTGTGCCAGCTGTAAATGTATCCCAGGGAGGTCTGGGTTCCACTGTCTTTGCAATGGCCCAATGTGGCCAGGCTCAGAGCAGGCTTGGCAGCACCACTGCTGCCCCTCCAGGAGGGCACAGGCCAGGAGCTGTGCTCAAAACCAGAGGGTGCTGCCTTGTGTAGCACAGCACTCCTGCACTTGGCTGCTATGCTGTGAGACAGCCTGACCCTTCTCCCTGCCAGTTCTGTGTCAAAGCACACTGAATGCAAGCGACCAAGTCATTACACAATTAGCTGAATTTACATGGTCCATTCTAAGCCTGGATAATCATCTGGCTCGGGCTCTTAGCAAGCTTATCTTCCCCTGGCAGAGCTGAGCCTGCTGTGGGCAACTGCTGTTCAGCCAAGCTAACCTCTGGCTCCTATTGACTTATAATTGCCTTACAGGAGGAACAAGAGCTGGACTTGGGGCAACTCTGCTATCTTAAGGAGAGGCAGGGCTTGTTTAAAAGTGGGAAGCAGCAAATACACAGGAAAAGCACCCACCACCCCAGGTGGTGATAACTGCATATCTCATAGGAAGGATGGGTTATTGAAACAGATGAGACACACTTAATGCTGCTTAGGAGCATTAATATAGCTCGTGTATCCATGCTTGTCAATCTCATGTACAGAGCTGAATTTCTTCCTGGTGAAACTCTGCTTGTCTTCAACAGAACAGGAATACTTATGGTTTAGCAGTTACTCAGGGAAATTTGTAGGTTCCAAGACTGAATGGTGTTCAGTCCAGGGTGGGGCACAAATGTGTTGTGGCTCATCCCTCATCCTAAAGCCACAAATCAGCCACAGGAGCAGAGAGGTGAGCAATGGCTGGAGGGCCAGTATGGACTGAGCCATGTGGCTGGCTGGCCCTGCTAGTTAACCCATACAGACTATGCAGCAGAAAGAACCAGCACAGCAGATGTCAAAGCATTTCCTGGTAAGAGCAAGACTAAGTTTCTTAGTGTCAGCACTATTGAGTCCAGAAAGCTTTCTTTAAATCATTTCTGTTTATGACCTGAGGTGCTGATAAGGGCAGACAGATCATGCGCTGCTCTGTAATAAGCATGCAGGAGCATCCATGATGGCTTTAAAAGAGAAGGGGAAGGAGAAGGGGGACAAAGATTTAAGAGATTCCTTACAATTTCTCAGTGCTAGGACAGGAAAGCATCAGCCGGACATTAAGATCTGCTCTTTGGTAGAGCATCCTTAGCTTCTCAGAAAGGTCCTGACAGCAGTTTCTAAACCCAGGTGATGTTTGCCAGACTCTAACATCATTACCCTAGAAACGTGTCCTCTAGGTTATGGTAAAAGCACAGTTTAAATGTCCCAGGGGAGGCTCAGATACTTATTGTGTGTGTGCTACCTGTTTTGATGGAGGGGAAGCTGGTGGAGGAACCCACGCACCTGCTCCATCCCGTATGACTGAGCTGAGCTTGGAACTGAAGAGGACATCCACGTGGTTCAGGATGAATTCCACAACTACTGACTGGATTCTCACCTCCATGAAGGCAGCTGTCCCACTGAAGCAGGCAGACTCAATCTGCTTTGACCTGAAGGAAAGGCAGATGAAATGAAATGCTAACAGCCAGAAGAACACAGGGAGATGTGCTGCTTTTGGGTAAGGCTTTGGTATGTGCTGAGCTGCTGGGCCTGGGCAGACAAGACTTCAGGGCCAATTATGAGATTAAACCTCATCAAAGCATTATGCAAATGACCACACTGCCTCTAGTCATTTATATCCAGGTTCTGGGTTCAGGTTGAATCTGACTGAACTGGCAAGAGGAACACTGGGTCTAGAAGGAGCAGGGGTGTGGGGCAGGTCCAGATGGAGGTAAATGAACCAACTGGGGAGCTTTTTGTTAATTTATTTCGAGATAATGGTGAGAGCCTAATGCACCAGCCTTGCACAAGCTCACTATGGCCTTCCAAAGTGATTTTCCCTCTAGCAGGGAGTGTCTCCAACTGATCCTGCTCAGCAAGTACCCCAACATTCACAGAAGCAAACACAAACGAGATTGTTGGGGTGCTTGGGGGTGAGTTGCCAGAAAGGAGAAAAGAGCTCACCCTCCTTAACTGTATATGGGAGGAATCTATGACTCAGGTGGGTAACAAAAGCAGTCCAGAAACCAGTACAGTAGAGGCCAGGGAAACACTTTTTCAAAGTGACATTTTTTAATTACACCATTAATTTTAAACTACCCTGTTATGCATATTCAATCAGATTTTAGGGGACAAATGAATCCAAGAAAATTTCCATAAACCCAACTTTTTGCAGCCACAGCAGTCAAATTAGACTCTAGAGACTTAAACAGTGGGAAATCAGTGATGCCACTGAACAAATTTTGCTGGATGGTCAAGGACACGCTCCTCCCATCTAAGCAGGAGAGGGGAAACTGTCATCTAGAAAGGGGGCTGGGGGTGGGTAGAATCCTTCCTTGCCCTTATGGGACTGAAGTCAGGAGACAGAGTAACACCAGGATACAGAACTAGCTCAGGAGCTTCCCAGTACCCTCAGCCCTGCTTAGAATGACTTCCCATCAGAAATGTTACAGAACAGCCCATTGGAGGGGGGAAAGGAAGATCCCTACACTGCTGGAAGTTGTTATATTCTGGAGAACAGGTGTGTGTCTGGTTTTTGCAACTATAAAAACTTGTGTTGAAAAGGGAAAAAACAAGCAAGTACCTTAGGAGGTTTGGAGCCCAGACAATTGCTAAGTTCTTAGTGTGCATATTTGTGATGGAGCAGTAATCAGCTAGACGAGCTAAGTGTCTCATTAGGAACTCCAGTGTCCTGGAAAACAGGAGATAGGCAAATGTTCAGCACCAATGAGCAAAGCCAGGCTGCGATTTACAAAACAAACCCCAGTTCATTATCATCTTTTGGTTTGACAGCTCACAGAAAAAAATGTTGAACTATGTACCCCAAGACTGATGGTAAAGTTGTCTTCAGCAAATAATTGCACCGAGGTGGGGCAAGGGGAGTCTCTCCTGATTTGTCCAGTTCGCATGAGCCAGTGGCCAGAGCATCTGCTCTCAGTCCAAACACTGAGGTGCATGGGAATAATCTACATGCCACCAGCACAGCAGGACCAGAAGCAGAGCTCCCTAGAGCTCCATTCCTTGGCTGCTGGGCTGGAGCTGGGCAAGAGCAATCCCACAGCCTCAGGGTGGGCTGTGCCAGTAGCATGGGGGCCCTTTGTGTGGGGGGTGAATGTCCACCTTCATACTGGGGAGGATATTGATTTAGACAACCCAGGAGAATGAAAACCCAACAAGTTTTATCTGAATTCTACTTAGGAAACTACTGGCTCCAGGTTTCTTACAGGTACAGAAGGCAGAGACAAGGTTAAACTTCAGAGGTTTCTCTTCACATGAAAAAAACAAAGGTTTTTTGTATTAAACATATTGCTAACACCCAGGAGGAGGAGGGAGCACAAAGCAGTAATAAAACTGCTGATGTATCCTCCTCAGCTGTTGCTTGGCAGCAGCCCTGGCTTGTGACTGGAGTGTTTTTTGGGGGGAGGGGATGTGCAGTGAAGGGGGGGGCTTTTGGTGCTCCAAATTCCCACAACTGGACAGGGCCTGAAGTGAAGATGGATGGTCCTGGCTGGAAACTATGCAAGTATCACCACACTAATTACACAGTTATTTATAGAGCAAGTAACACACATTTATAGCTTCTAATAATTAGTTAACCATAATTATTAAACACTAATTGCAAGTTAATAATATTCAAGCAAGAGTTAGTTATACCACTAAGCCAGAGCACCCCAACTCTCAGTCTATCAAGCATACATATTACAAATTTATCTCAGAAATTTTAAATACTTTATTAACACAAATGATTCTGAATAGTTAACACAATGTAAGTAACTATCTTCACACATTGCAACTGGTCACTCAGGGTACAGCATCACAACTGGTTCTGCAAATAAACATCCATTGCAATATAAACCCCTACAGCCAGTAGCAGCAGAATCTGGAAGAATTAGACACCTATAGACAATTATAGGCAGCACCCCTGGGTAGCTAATAACCATAAAACAAAACACCAATCAGCAAGTACCACCAAGTATTAGAATTAATTGTCAAGAGCCCAAAATCCATCTACACATGCTCTAAATGCCACCTGAGTGACTCAGGGTGCAGCACCAAAATTGATCCAGCCAATTACCATAGTTATTCATATATAAATAACTTTCAATATACATTGTAATTAGCCATTTATACCAATTACAGTACATAATGGGACAAGTCTACCTACTATTAATTGTTAATACTGTTTAAAGAATCAGTAATAACAGTATTATAATTGGTTACTAATACCAGTCACCATACTTCTTAGTCTGATGACTAATTACCATAACCATTACACTTAGTTAAAACACATTACTATTTACCACAACTTAGTCATTAATAGTTAATATTGATAGTAATGAGTTTGAATATACTATTACAGTTGGTGATTTTTAAACACCATCTTATAATTATTCTACTAGAGCATTATTATAATGTGCTGGTTACTGTTATTGTTGGGGAGATTGGGGGAAAACTGGAGACAAAATACACTTGATCAAATTAACCTGAAGCCTGAACCAATTGTTTGGCTTCATTTCACTCTTCAAAATCTTGATTCCACTGAGCTGGAGGAGAAGAAAGCTGCACTAACCTGTAGTGGGGAGGGGGCAGCTGCTGGATGACATCGTGGATTTTCACCAACCGTTCTTCATCAGTAGCAGCAGAAACAGCATCCTGGAACAAGGCAGGAAGGGATTTAGCTGCAAATGAAACTAGATACTTGCTCCAGCACCTTGAATGGCCCATGTGCTGCTCAGTATGATGTGGAGTTCATTGCTCTTGACCTCCAAGGAGGTGTTGGTCTCTTGGGGACAGCCCAGCACACGGATAGTGTGAGAAAGACAAAGTAAATCAACATCTGGGCCACGTTACAGCTTAACTGGACAGAGCAATTCATGGCAGAGGACAATTCCAGCTCCAAGCAGCATTTGCTTTTAATCGTGCTCCTGTTTGAGAAATCACTGGGGAATGGCAAATATGAGAGGGATTCTTGCAAAGCCTTTTTAGTGTCCCAGTAACCTTCTGCTGGGGCCCCAAAAAAGGATTCAGTGTGGAGTGGCATGAGGGACAAAGGCACATGTGGCAAACCTAAAGGGAGAACTGAAAAGACACCTCAGACCTGGGGCATCGCTGCACTTCTGAAATGGCAGGTGGTACCAGCAGTGGGGCTGTGGTGTGTGGCTGTCAGGCTGGTAACTTTGTAAACACACATTTCTGGTCTCTGCAAAAAGCCCAACTTCAGCAGAAGTTCAGACAAAGGAAGGTGTGTGGAAGACAGGTTCAGCTTCAGTGTTTCTCTGCTCAACCTGTGTAGATGAAGTCACCCTGAAGTGGAAAGCCTTGTACTTACTGAGAACTTCTCGTAGAGTTGGTAGGTCAGCAGAGGGTTGGGGAGCTCACGGAAGTAGAGTTTGCAGAGGGAGCCCACGCAGTGAATGTCCTGGATGTAAATGTCCTTTGTCAAGTCAGGAATCTGCTCTGAGTCAAACTCGTGGCTGGAAAGAAGAACAGAAAAATGGGCAAGGGGGTTTGATAAGGAGGAGTGAAAAGAAAACCCAGCGCAAATTACAGTCAAGAAAAGCAAGAGTTTCCTGATTTACAGGCAAAAATACATAGTTGGTCACCAAAGCCACCGACCCATGGTTGTGGTGTTGCTAAACTGGATTTTTTCCAAAATGAGACCTTTTTTTTTTTCTAATAAGGCATTTTCAGTTCATTTTACAATGGATTGGCTACTCTGCAATCTCTTTTGCTGCAACAGGGCCTTTCAGAAAGCCTTCAGAGAATGTGTCCAGAGACCACTGGAAATATAACTCCTGAGGGAGCTGCCCTGGAGGAGGAGGAGGGGCTGATTGGCAGCTCCTGTCCTTCTGCATTTCAAAGGCCTGGAAGACTGGAAGACCGAAGTGCTGAAGCAATGCAAACAGCAGTGCCAGGGGCAGCTGCTGCACGTGGAGACTGGTGTGCATGGAAGTTCCTTGGGGACAAGCTGGTGGGCTGAGCGTGCCTCTGCTGCAGGGCAACGGGAGCCAGGAACCACATGAAGACAATCCCTGAGCATTCCCTTGGTTTTCAGAGAGAGAAAAACCAAAATCACAAACATGTATGGAATAAATGCTGAGCTTAGAAGGCCAAGGGCTGGCTCGCTGCTAGAATATGTGCAAGGAAAGTGCTGTTTCAAATTATCAGGGCAGATTTGCAGGGACAAGTACACGCTGCTCCAGCTGCAGCTCAGAATCCCTGCAAGGTCCTCGAGCTGTAGTCCAGCTGATCAGGGACCCATCCTGGCTACACTGCAACCTTGGGGACTTGGTGCCCACACCCTTGCTTTCTCCCCCTGTCCAGACCAGGCAGTTTGTAACATCAATGCTAAAACAGCCTTCAGCACAGCTCCAACTCTGAGCTCACCTCTCTCTGCCTACAGGAGGGACGTAGTTTGTCCTCTGTCCAAGGCACCTGGCATGTTTGGCACTGCAGAGGTGCAGCCCTGGCACGCTGGGGAGGGAGCTCCTTCCTCCCCTGGAGGGGAAGGCTGTGAGGGAGGCCCTTTATACTACATCACACTTGTGGGGGGGTGGTGGTGAAGAGCTCTGCTTCTTCAGACCGGAGAGTAACCCAGGTCTGAAGAAGCAGAGAGAGCACCGAAGGAAATAAAGGTCCCTGCTACAATTCTCAGCACTCAGAAGACCCTGCTCCCTCGGCCACATTCTGACTCACCACTTACTTCTTTCCTGCACCAGGCTCCTCAGAAGAGAGCTCAGAAGATCAGGAAAGACACCAACCACCTCACATGTTCAGCTTTGGCTGAAATTCTCTGCCCATATCCCACTCCAGTGTATTTTTCCCTAGGAATAAATCTCACACTGTGTCAGAGACCTACCCCTGCAGGACAGAACATGGAGCTAAGGACAGGAAGCCTTACTACCTTCAGCCTTTTTTTTCAATCTCTGCACTGGCTGAAAAAAAACAACACCACCAGAATCCAGGGATAAAGATGCCAACTCAACACTCATGCTGGTCTGTCTACCAGCCAAATAAAGGCAGCTCCTGCACTGCCAAAGAGCCAACCTCTGTCCTGGAGTAAATCTCCCATGTGGAATAAATTCTCTAACTTTCTCTCCAACCAAAAAGCCCTTTAAAACTGGGAGATCCAATTCTATGTGAAATTTAGGAGCAGTGACTCATTTATAAGGATATTGCAGCCCTAGCTTTGAAATAAGCCTAATGATCTGTTTATGTAGCTGGAAAGCACAGCAATGCAACGTGTCCTACATTAACCAAACACATGAAAATCTGTGGGGATTTAGATGAACAACAGGGACAGTGTCTGCAAGTTATGCCATATACTCCCTTCCCTTTGTCTTTGGAACATCTCAGAAAATTGAAATATAGGCTGTCACTTCATTCTCTCTACTACAGCAGGGAGTGATGCCATTAAAGTTTTAGAAAACCATTTTCAAAGCACCTTGGAAAAGAGTGAAGGAGAAGAGAGTCTTGGCAACAGAAAGGGGAAAAAATGGACTAGGGCAGCAGTTAGAAAGATAGTCCAGCACAAGTCAAAATGGGGAATTAAAGGGATGTAATTGAAGCAAGGGCAACCATTTTATTCAGCCAAGACTGCTGTGGGCAACAGCTACAATCCCAGTCTTTGGAGTCTGCATATCAAAGTCTTGGGAGCAGATTTGTTTTTTTAAATGGAACTTGCTGTGATGAGAAACAGAATTAAGCTGAACCAGAATAAGCCCATCCATAGAAGGGTTTGTACAGTAACTGTACTGGCTCAAACCTGTCCTTCCAACCTGGGAATAGCTGGTACAAAAAGGATTTCCTTCAGATGGAAAATACCCCTTTGCTGCCTCTGTGACATGGGCCTAGGATCAACACTGGTATTAGTCACATCCCTCTAGGTTCTCTCAGTCCCTTCATAAGACAAAAAGGCATCCAAATGATGGGAGGAAAACCAAATCCAAAAGGATAAAGCTCATTTACTGTGATGAGAGCAGGTCCTAACAGGGGAGGACACCCAGGGAGTCCCTCCCTGCAGCGCAGCAATGCCACCCGCCGGGAATGATGCAACTGCTCTTTGCATGTTACCAATTAATTGCTAATACGCCAGGAGTTCAAAGCAGCAAGGAGAAATACCAGCTGCTCAAGAGGGCTCTGGGAGCAAGAGGAAACAGGAATAAAATGTGACAGCACAGTGACATCCTAATACTTCCCATACTCTTACCCTGAAGGAAAACGTCCTGTGAAATGAAGTCCGCTCAACACCCCGGTGTTGTTCCAGATGGTGGCAAACCCAGGGAGACCCTCCAAGCAGGAGGGTCTGTCCTGCAGGGCACAGGCTGGAACCCCTCCCCTGCCTCCCCCAGCCCTGCACAAGTGTCAAACCCCACGTCCTCACCGGAGCTTCTGGATGTTGGAGGCGATCCCGGACAGGCGGTAGATCCCGTCCACGATGCCGTGCTTCTCAATGAACTCTGTGCAGCTCTTGAGGACCTGGGGGACTGGAGAACAAGTGGTGGTGGTTAGTTGAGGATGTTATTAAAGTCCTAGTTAAAGGCTGTGGTCTTGTCAAATGCCATGAACTAAGCCTGTCTGGACGACTGCTTTAGTTATTCCCTAGAGGAGAAAGTCTGTAAGAAATGTCACTTTAGGAACTGGGGTGGAAACGGGTCTGAGGTGTCTCTGCTTTAAAGAAATGCCAGGATATGAATCAGGTTGAAAAAAGTCAATTCTGGTCCTATCACGACTCCCACAAGAACTGGGGTGTTAAATTCCATTACAGAAGTGCTACAAAATTGAGTAAATACCCTCTTTGGCCAAAACCTTCCTTTGTTTTCAAATCTCTACAGGATTAACTTATCCTGCTCAGTTTAAGCAAATCTGAACGTTAAGGAGATGCTACTTTTTGCATCAGGGCCAAGGAGAGTTTTTCTAACTGATAATTTCATCGCCAATGTCTGCCAGAGCGTGACTGGATCTAGATAGCTACACAACATCCCACACTCACAGGAACTGCAGACAGACCAGGGCATGACAGAATGGAAAAAACAAGCCCAGAGGATATAATTAGGTGTCAAGTTAATATTCAAACTGCTTCACCAACTGATTCCTTCCAGTTGACTTTGCAGCCTCCTGCAGCACCCACTGCTGGAGCTCTGTCCATCCTTGTAAGCCTAAGGAGGATTTATAAAAGGGACATAAAAGTGCCTTGAACACTGAAAGAAAATTAGGATTGAGCTCTTGTGAGCATCAGCAAATCTTCATGGATACAGCTCAAATCCTTGTGGGTTCCCCTGCAAGCCACCTTTTTGCTACAGCTCCCATGATGATTGAGATTTATTCTTGCATTAGATGCCAGGTCTGATCAATTTGCCACGTGATGCGGATTCTGAAGAGGTGACGTGGCAAATCCCCTTAGAGCAAGCAGCAAAGGCCACCTGCCAGTCAGTTCTCCTCAGTGCTACTGAACTTAGGCATCCACTGCTCTGTGCCTTCCCCTCCCCAGCCTCTTCACTGCTGCTTTCCTTGCAGCAAGCACCCTCACAGCTCGAGAAAAGACACATTTTAAATGGTTCCCTGGAAATCAGCAGGTGCATCCTGGGCTAAGGGCTATTCTGCTCCAGCCAGCATAGCAGGAAACCTATAAATCCCAGTGGATGTCAATCACACAGGCTCAGCTTTAGTGGATTAGCCTGCAGCTGCCATACCCAGAGGTACCAAGGGACAGTCACAGCTCAGCCTGTCTCCAAGGATGCTCCAGGCATCAGCAGCACCTCACGGTGCAGCAAGATGCAGCCTCTGGGGTCAGCACAGCCCTTGGACACTAAGCAATGGAAGAGACAAACCCTGGGAAGCCAAGTGCTGCTTTCTTTGGGGCCAGGAAGCCAGCAGAGGTGATCACCTTATGCTCGCCCTGTAGGTGCAATAGAAGGTTCAGCTCCCACTAACACAGCCTGAAGACCTCAGCTCCTGCTCTGAAGCCAAAGGTGCCTCGTACAGCAGCTCCACAATTGTTGCCATTAGCAATGAACCCAACACACATTTAGGCATCAGAGGCACGATAAGCAACGAGTTCCCACCACTGAGGGGATGCACACCTGGAGAGCAGGTTGGTAAAATGTGCATCAGGCACCCAGAACAGGGCACGAGACAGAGCTGGTGGAACAGGCGGCCCCACGTTCTAACAACGCTTCAGAAAACACTTCTGCAGAACCACACTTGGCCCTTCATGCAAAAAGAGTCAACAGCCTGTCAAGAAGAAAGTTTTTAAGGCTTTAAGTGACAGGAAGGAGCTGTATCACACTCAAGCAGTTGCCTAAAAGGGCTAAAGTTGTTCTGCACTGCACTGTGGGGTTAGATGTCTGTGACTCAGGTGCAGAAGAGTAGAGAGGTGAGAACAGCCCTATCCACTGCAGTGAGGACACAGGACAGGACTTTGGATGCTGACACAGTTAGTGGTGTCTCTGTGAGTAGAGAGAGAACCCAGGGTTGAGAGCACACTAGATTCATCCTCCTTTAGGATTCAATGAGATGCGAGACAATGTGAGATGTCCCCATTTGCCCCTCTACCCCCCCCCACCCATTACAAAAGGTGAGGTTGCAGATCTTGTCAGGGTGCTGGGCTGGACACTTCCTTTTGCCCACTGCAAGGGTCGGGGAAAAGACTTTACCCAGGTTTCAAAGTGCTGTGGCAAGGTCTGCTAATGTTTAGCTGCAAAATCCCAAAGACTTTAATGGTCCATACTGGAATCTCAATAGGGGTCTCCTTCAAACCTCCCCGGGTACACAAACAGCACAGCAAGATGGGATTTATGGAGCTGCCCAGCTCAGCAGCAGGGACAGTGTGCAACAGGGCAGGGGAGAGCAGGGGGAAGGTGAGGGATGTGGCACCAACAACACACCTCCTGAAGTGCTTCTTTGTTGTGGAAGATCCTGGGCACAATTAGAATTAATAGACACGGAAAAAAAATCCAGCAGGCCTGTTCTGTGCATTTCCTTATCTGGTTACCAGGACAACCTGTTCTTTAAGCTAAATATATCATACCAGCACCAGGGATATTTTTGGGGAATTCTGCATGGTGGGAGAAGTGACAGAAATTCAAGAAGGGCTATAATTGTACTTGAAGGCCCTTTGCTGGATGGTGACTTGATTTTTCACCAAAGATGACACCTGACAATTACACATGTCTTTAACCTCCCTCTCCTCTCTGAATCCCAGGCCCTTTAGCTAAATATACATTTATATACCTGCATATCCACACATATGGAGGGAGTAGTGTCTGTTGCCAGCAGAGTGAAATGGCAGGATGGGAGCACGAGCTAAGACTTCATTTTCTGATGGCCAAGCATGCCAAGACCACCACCACAGCATGACCTGCAGTGTTCAGGTCCTGATTTTGGCTTCTAGATCCCAAACCAAGGACCAGGTTTGAATGGAAAAGGTATCTCAGCTGCATCACAGCAGAAAACTGATGGAGATTTTTTTCTCACAGGTTGTAGCAGCATCTATGCTAAAATTCTCTTAATGGTAGTTAATTACTGTGCTTCCTGCAATTATAACAATCAGACTTGACGATGTGGGTGGTTTGTATTAACAGCCATGAAAGTCCACCTAGCTCAGCCCCTGGCTTCTGGCTTAAGGAAAGGCTCAAGAAGGAACAAGCCCAGGGTAGCACACACTGGGTTCCTCCAGTCCCAACTATGCCCAGAATTGGTGTCTGTGTGAATTCAACCCAGCACAGGGCCCTTCCCAGCTCCATGTTCCCAGGCAAGTACCAGCAGTGCACCAGCACTCACTGTTGGGTTTATTCTTTCCCTGAACAACACACTCTCTGACCACTGACTCCAGACAACCTCTCTGCAGTGAAGCCTGTCCCAGCTGCAGCCCCTCACACCCACAGACAGGTGCTGCCTTTGAACCCCAGGCTCTCAGTGAGAATCCCAGAACTGTTCATGTCTCCTGTTCCAAACCCAATCACCTTCCCTCATTCCCTCTGCTGTCTCAAAGAGCAGGTATTGCAGGACACAATGTGCAGAAGGCTGGAATGGGGATGCATTGCCAAAGGAGACCCCAGCAGATTTCATCACCATAGCAGCTAAAGGAATTTATGCAACTCATTCCTGAGCATCTCAGCTGGTTTGAAAGGTTCATTACATCTCCCAGGGCTTGTTAACTGGTTAATTCTTTGCCAGTAAGAGGAAGCAGAAGTTTTATGGGTTTCATTCTGAAGGACATTTTGATTCATCTTGGAAAAGGCACATTTACTTTCCTATCATCTTGGTTTTATTTTTTCCTTTTTAATCTTTTGTAATGTTCGCTCTCTGAGTTTTCAGCTTGCCCTTTTTTTTTTTTTTTTTTTTTTAATAATTATTTTTAATTCTCCCAGCCTGTTACTGGAACCAGAACTATTTGTTCAGCCTGGGGAAGGAGGCCTCCCACCAAGCTCCCCTCCAGCAGCACCATTTCCACAATATTCCAGCAACAAGGTGAACTGCTGCACGATCCAGGCCTTTGGCTGCTGTGCAGCTGCTCAGCTGAATTCCACACACAGCAAACCAAGGTGGGAAGCTAAACCTGCAGCCCAGCAGGAACAAGAAAAATGCAATTAGCTCTTCTGAGCACCACTCTGAACCACCAAAAGAAAGGTAACAACATGGCTATCAGGTACCTGCAACCATTCTTCCAGGTATCTACCCCTCCACCTCACAGTAAAAGTGACACAGAGGGTGCAAACCAGCTTGGGACAGGGAGGTTAAGGGTCTCCTCCTGGTTTTCTGTCCTGCCACCAGCAAGCCCCCTGTGTGCACCATTTTATAAGCATGCAGACACCCCCCACCCCCCAGACACACATTCAGAAAAGAAGTCCAACTTCAAAAGATTCTCTTCTAAGGACTTTGACTCCTAAACCCATGTCCTCTCACTTGAATCTGCACCAGTAAGAGAAAAGCACCAGAGCAACCAACCAGCAAACTCCCTGCAAGATGCTCTCATCCCCATTTCCAAGAATGACCCACATTAACATGATTGATGCTGTTGATGAGTAAAGTCCAAGCCTATAATCACAAGCTGCACTATTTCCTGGTATCACGCCATGTTTTCATTTGAAGTGTGACTTTTGCACTTGGGAAAGTGCAATAATGGAAAGAGGGGCCATAAACTGGTTCCAGGAGCCACCACCAGCAGAGCCCGTGTGGAATTTGCCTCTGGCACTGGACTCTGCTTTTCCAGGCTGGACTTTTCTTTTATGGCAGCTCACCCAGCAACTGTGTCAAAACAAAGTGCAAAGTTCAAGCCTGAGAAACATAAATCCCACAGAGTTGCATCAGGCTGGGCAGGTAGATAACCATGTTTCTCAAGTCCTGGGAGATCAGCAAGGTTCTGGACAGTGTGGGTCTGTCTACATGTGCAATTCTGTGCTTGAGGGCTGCAAGTGGTACCTGACTGCACCTGATCAAGGATGGGCCTTGGGGTGGGACATCCATCTCCCAGGCTGCATCCACT